AGTGGACTATATATTTGGACAAGTGTTAAAAGACTCTCCACACTTGTCATACATGCAACCTCCCTAATTGCCTATAAATAAGATGATCATTAGCCATCATATTCACTCAATTCTTAACCAAGAATTCATCTAGCTAACCATTACTTTCTTCCTAGTCTTCTTTGTGAATTATCCAACACACAAAATACCTTCATCTTCTCTTCTTTCTGGGCAACTGTTTTGTGCAAATTCTAAACTTCCAGCCACGAGTGCATGTGTTTGGAGATGCTGGGGAACCTTGGGGAGCAACTGGTCTTAACGATTTGCACCTAGTCGGGCCGAAATCGCTTTCAAGGCAGTGGCTTGCCGCGACACATTATTTTTGATAAGTTGTTCTTCTTTCCTTCTTGTTCTTAGTCAATATTATCTACTCATTTTCCTTACAGGAACAACCTTAGCATAACATCCGATGGCCAGGATCTCAGGGTGCGGTTGACTGAATCTTCGGATATGTACGTTCATCTTTTCAGATACTCGACCCTTGTTCATCTTTTCGGATACTCGACCCTTTCGATAACCACAGCTTCCGAGATAAAAGAATCATTGAGCCCGGTAGCAAATCCCTTTGTATATATCCATTTCTGATTCTTACTTGCCAAGTGGAATTTTCCTAACACGCCACGTGAAAAAGGTAAATTTACTGATACAGAATCGAGACCAGCTTGCGCGGACCTTGACTAATTCCACAGGGTACCTGCTATCTTCCACTAGCACAGGTATTGGATAAACTTTATCCACCGAGGCTTGGACAGATGAAAGAAATCACCTAGTGTTTTCGAGAAGACACCTTGTCTCGGATAGTAAAATCCGATTTAACAAGACTTGCTAGCATTGATGCTCGTCAAACTAAGATTTTTTAAGTAGACTTGCTCTATCACTGGTCGCAATGCATTTATCCTTTGCTTGATTCAGCAAGGGGATTACTAAGTATTTAATGTAAGGCGAACTGACTGCACATGACTTGACTTGCACTGATCAAAAGAGTAACTTCTTTCATTTTTCATGTGAAGTTACGAGCAATTAAAACCACATTGCAGGATAGAACCAAGCTATGTTGCGCGGACTTCCCAAAATTGCTGCCGCATCCGTACCGGATCCATAAAAAAGGCACTACTTTTGGAGGATCAAACACGCACATAATGACATTTGTGCAGAGTCCGAGCAACATAGAAACCAAGCACCAACAATTGGGAAGAAAGGTCATACCAGAGTATCAAATCAAGAAAGATCAAACACATTCTAAATAATGTTAGCTCTGAAACACATGCTTCTTAACCATGGAACTCAGAACTGACCAGCTGGCTAAATAAGCCACTCACCTAAGAAGAAATAAACCACTGGATTCAAAGAGTGCATCAGTAATGCAAGATAAGAGGAACAAAGAAGATGAGAAAATGGACCTTTTCATTCTGAAGATACAAAAGTAAAGTGTATGTGACAATTGTAATGTAATATCTGAGGTGTTCGTGTTAGTAATGAAGCAACATTTCTCATCATGTCAGCATCACATATGACATATTATTCACTGCTTCTGTATTCTAAGGTCAGTGAGTCCTCCAATCCAAATAGGGGTGTGCATTCGATTTATCGATTCGATTTTGACCCTTATCGATAATTACTTATCGATTATCGATTTGTACATATGCTTATCGTTATCGTTTCAATAAGGTTTCGATTTTTTCGATTTCGATTTATCGATTTTGGGGGCTTATCGATTCGGTTATCGATTACACCAATAAGAAAATTTGCGGGATTCCACGGAAAGTATATCGCTATAAACGCGCCTAACTAATATGGACAAAAAGAAGCTAAAATAAGACGAACACCATTTATAATATAAAAATTGTGTCAACAAGCACATGCAACAAAACTAAAGTAAGGGATCAAATGTATGCCACCAACACTCCAACGGTATAAAAAAACAAAACAAAACAAAACACATCATCACGGCTAATTTTGTTTTCTATTAATTTGAACTTCATTCCCTTGATCTTTAAATATGATCATTCCTTAAATATGGTAGAGGAAATAATAGGGTAAGGGACTTAGGGTAAAGGAAAGGGTATAGATTAGGGAAAATAATATTGTATAGCCGCTTTCAAAATAGTAGCGGAATATATATACATTCTGTATGTTATATTAATCTACACAAATAGGTAATTACTCATTTAACAAGTGTCTACAGTCTAGGGGTGTGCATTCGATTTATCGATTCGATTTTGACCCTTATCGATAATTACTTATCGGTTATCGATTTGTACATATGCATAAACCGATTCGAATGTACACCCCTAATCCAAGATGAACCAACTCTGAATGTTCTGCTCAAACATTGTAAACCAAACAATACAGAATACCAATTTTAAGTAATGCAGATAAATACATATCTGCTTCGAGTACCATAGTTCTTAGTTACAGAAATTCAGTCATTCGCCAGCTGAAAATTATTATCCATAGTTTACAAACAAATTCCTTATTCTTTTGTGCTTTTCTATCAGCATCATTTTGCTGAAACAAAAAGCCTAAGCAGTGAATCTCAAATTAGCAAATCTGCACTTAAAGTTTCAAACAGAGTCTCACATTTGTTCTAAATTAAATAAAGTGCATGAAATCAAATGTTCTCATTCCTTTCAAGCAAAGGAAAAGTGAAACAGGAGACTAAGGAAAAATCCCAAAAGTTCAGTAGAATTTGGTGTTTAAAACAGGATACTTCAACTAAAGTAAGATTCTAAGACATAATAAAAGTAACCAAGAAGTTTGCATATATGACAATGGATTAAGTAACTTCAATGGAAAGTGCCGATCATGTGAAAAGAGATGCTCAGCTGCAAGTTCATCATTCTAAGATTTTCTGAATAACACCAGCTCCAACAGTCTTTCCTCCTTCCCTGATAGCAAACCTCATCCCTTGCTCACATGCAACCGGCATGATAAGCTCAACCACCATGTTTACACGATCGCCAGGCATGACCATCTTAGATTCCTCTCCTTTGTCACTCATAATCGCGGTAACCTTTCCAGTCACATCAGTTGTCCTCATGTAAAACTGAGGCCTATAACCCGCAAAGAACGGGGAATGCCTTCCTCCCTCTTCCTTCTTCAACACATACACCAAAGCTTCAAACTTTGTGTGAGGAGTAATTGTTCCGGGCTTCGCCAACACCATCCCTCTCTGAATATCAATCTTCTGAATACCTCTCAACAACAATCCCACATTATCTCCCGCCATCGCTTCATCCAAAATCTTCTGAAACATCTCAACCCCTGTCACTGTAGTATTCCTAGTATCCTTCAATCCAACTATATCAACAATTTCCCCAACCTTAACAGTCCCTCTCTCCACTCTCCCCGTCGCCACAGTACCTCTACCGGTAATTGAGAAAACATCCTCAATAGCCATCAAAAAAGGCAATTCAGTTTGTCTTTGTGGGATAGGGATATATTCATCAACATTATCCATCAATTGATAAATCTTATCAACCCATTGATTTTCACCCCTTTTAATACTAGGATTAGCCATCAAAGCCTCTAGAGCTAAAAGTGCAGAACCAGAAATAATAGGAATTTCATCGCCAGGGAACTCATAACTTGACAATAATTCTCTTACCTCCAACTCAACAAGCTCAAGTAACTCCTCATCATCAACTTGGTCTTGTTTGTTCAAGAAAACAACCATATTAGGGACACCCACTTGCTTAGCTAACAAAATATGCTCTTTAGTCTGTGGCATTGGGCCATCAGCACCTGACACAACAAGAATTGCCCCATCCATTTGGGCAGCACCAGTAATCATGTTCTTGACATAATCAGCATGCCCCGGGCAGTCCACGTGGGCATAATGTCTGTTTTCTGTTTCATATTCAACAGTGGCAGTGTTGATAGTAATACCACGCGCCCTTTCTTCAGGGGCAGCATCAATTTCGTCATATTTCTTGGGGGCGGAGTTGCCCATAGAGGCAAGCGCCATGGTCAAAGCAGCTGTGAGTGTGGTCTTTCCATGGTCAACGTGGCCAATTGTACCAATGTTGACGTGGGGTTTTTTACGCTCGAATTTGCCACGTGCAGCGCGGACAGTGAACCGACGGGGGTGGGTGGTGGACGGAGTAGTGGTTGGTGAGTGGAGGAAAAGGGTTGATGGGGTGGGTGTAAAAGAAGAGGAAAGGATAAGCTTTGAGGAATTTGTAGGGAATACAGCAGCAGTATTCCCGCTACTGGTTGAGGAAGAAGGGGAATAAGGGTATGCAAGCTTTGTAGAAGCTGCAGCTGTGGCAGAAGCTGCTGAAATTGAAGCCATTGCAGTTTTTTGCCTGAAAATGGGATTGAAATTTTGGAGAAGAGGGTGAAAGAGGGGGAGTGAGGATTGTGGTTGAAAGAAGGAAGAAGAGGAGAGGAGAGGAGAAGGATAATGATGTTATCCTTGGTAGGAATAAAGAGGGCCTCTCATATATGTGGGGTTTTATCTAATCACTTAGATGACACACTGGGCTGCAACTTGCAACTGTGGGGATTAGGGGTATGGGATTTCTGTGAATTCTGTTCCCAAAATGTGACACGTAAGAAAATAGTCTAAATTTTTACCCTGCCTTTTCTTTTAACTTCACATAAAAATAAAAATAAAATCTTTATGTTCCAAAATCTTGTATCTTTTTCTCCCTTTTAGTTTTCGGTAGTGTTTAATTTAACAGGGAGTGGGATGTATACAGTAGAGTGCAAGAAAAATATGGTAACGTGTGCTTTAGAAAAAAGTTCATGTCAAATACTAGTATGTAATACCTAAGTATGAAGGATTGACTAAAAAGTGCGAGAACAATAGGGCATATACAAAAGTTTAAACCCTGAGTTTACACCAATGATCTGTATCGAGCTTATAAAGAGCTTTAGTATAGGTAAAAGTAGCGGGGGCGTGAGGGAGGCGTTTATAAGCACATAGGAAAAAACATACTTTGTGAAGAAAAACCGGACAACAGCAAACAGTAGAATCATTCAGATAATATTACTTACTTTTTTTACAGATCTAGTGAACACCAATGATAAAATCAAAGAAACTTATGAAGTTATATACTAACGCATTATTTCAACCAATTGACATTTCCAATAGTAAAATACTCATGTAAATATGTACAAGTATACATGCCATGAAATTCAAGGACTCATTTTTAGCAGCAACATGACTTGCAGACGCACCATACGCGTGTAATGAGAAACCTGTATTACTGTAATTCCTGGCCCTGAAATGATGGTAACCTTGACAGAAGTGAATCTGTATCTAACGATAGGTCCATGCTTTTCCCCTCTAGCTTTTGATCTGCATGTGACCATTGTCAGCAACATTAATCTTTCAGCATTCTGGAATATCTTGAAACCTTTCAAGGGTAGTCAGATAATTGGTTCAATCCAAGAACTATCTGCAGTTGAGTGGCAAAAGGCCGCACTGTAACATCTTCACGGAGAAACTTCAGTCTTCAGGATCCATAGAATAGCAGCCTCATCCGCACTACAAATTATGGGAAGATATTTTGCAACCATAAATGCCACGGATCTCAGGAGGAAGCTTACTTAGAATATCTGATATAGCCGAGTCATGTTTCTTCCTGAGATCATTTAGCTCCTTTTGCTGCTGACCTAGCAGCTCCTCGAGTTTCTTGACAATTTGTCTGACATCAGCTGGGTAGTTGTTGCTGATCATGTTATTTCTTTCCTCTGATGAATTAGGCCTGCTTGAGTAACTAAAATCCGCAGAATGATCATTATCATCAAGGTAAGAATCATGTAGAACACTGGCCTCATCATCCATGTAAGTCTCAGTTTCATAATCTTCGAGTAAGGCAGCATCAAAATGTGAACTGCCTCCCTCTCTCAGGACAACAGGTGATTGTTCATTTTCTTCGGTCCAGCTACCTTCACGAATTGGTGAATCGGTCTGTGACATGTTTGAAGGCCCCTGTCTGAGCGGAGAGCTTGCACTACTGGCTGTTTTCGGTGAATCAGACCAGTACTTCCGACCTGAAGGAAGTCTTTCCAACACAAGACTGCCCGAATGAGCAGAATCGATTGTTAAGGGGGGGACATCATCTCGGGCTCTAGAAGTACAGCTACCGGGAGCAACTTCATCAGTTATGTCATTGCTAGAGCATTCTCTTGGTGCCCAATCTGGGATATATGACCGAATTTCAGAATCAATCATTGCTGCTATTGCTGAAACATCCTGATCTGTCAGGTCCAGCTCTTCGACCATTTCACTAGCAACAGCGTTTGCCGTATCAACTTGAATATCAAAGGGGAAGTGAATGTTCCTAATATGACCTGATACCACAGTTCAACTGTTATACAACCTAATTACGGGAAGCATCTTAAGCTTGATAAAGAAACAATGAGCATGAGCAAATGGTAACCTGTTGAATCAGTTATTCGCAGTTTAAGAAATATTGTATTTAGGTCCTTCCTTTGGCCCTGCACCGTGAAATCTCTAGCTCCCTCAGGCAAAGGGTCCTTAGTACTTTTTCCATTATCAGACTGATCATCCCTCATTTCTGTAAAAAATCTCACAGAAGTCAATAATATTAGCGGACATTTCAGGAAGTGGGCGATCAGATAATTACCTGCATGTCTGGAATTGGAGCTCAAAGATCGACCTATATTTCCAGAATCCTCATCTGAAAGGAGAAAGGGATCCATCAATAGTTCCTTAGCAGGCAACCGATCAGAAGCTTTTGCGATACATTTATCTATAAAGGCTTTAACTCCTGGATCCTTCACTTTTGCCAATGAGGCAGGCTTAATTCCCTTCATAGATGCAATTGGTAAAATCAGAATCTTAGCAATGTAGTATTGTAAGATGAAACTAAAAATACCAAGAAATGCAGAGTCACCTATCTCATTATAATGATCTGCTAAAACGAAAAATAGAGCTGCAGAAAAATTAAGATTACCAACCAAATTAACAAGCTCCCGCTTCCCTCTTTCCGCTCAAAAGAAACCCACACCCCCAACCTACCCCACCCCACCCCCACCCCAAAAAAAGTTCATGCCTGTTTTATAATTTCTAGCAATCAAACACTGAAAATTGATCATATAAACTCGTGGATTTGTTGAGTAATGATCTAATATAGTAAAATAAGGTGCTCCCTAGGGCCTAAGATCCAGTCTAAACAGTTTCATCTTGCCCTGGCACAAAGTTAAAACTGGAGCTTAAATTAAACAGTACTTCCAATAAAACTACGCCCCAGAAGTAGAGATATATGTTTGATTGTGATACGCTTGAGATTTGACAAGGATCAAAGTGGATCTCATATTACTTTGATATAGTATAGTCCTCAATATGCAATAGGTACTCAGGCAGTGAAGGAAAGACATTTCCCTTTATTAAAGCAAGTGACAACATTTAGTCATGATGCAAAAAGAACACAATCCTTTTGGGATGGAGGTAACTAGTGTGGTAAGTGCTAAGCACTTCTGAGGACTCCATGTTTGCCCGGAGGAGAAGACAACTGTACGTTACTGTGAGAATGCACGGGAGAAAATATATTATTGATGTATTGACATATGTTACAATGAGCCCTATATATATACACACACATAACATGTCCTACTCCTAATATATATTGGATTAGGGTTATTTATTTACTCCTATTTACATGACTATTCTAACACTCCCCCTCAAGCTGGTGCATATAAATCATATGTACCGAGCTTGTTACATATGTAGTTAATACGAGGACCAGTGAGGGACTTGGTGAAAATATCTGCAAGCTGATCATTCGACTTCACAAACTTTGTAGCAATATCTCCCGAGAGTATCTTTTCTCTAACAAAGTGACAGTCAATCTCAATGTGTTTAGTTCTCTCATGGAACACTGGATTTGACGCAATATGAAGAGCAGCCTGATTATCACACACAAGTCCCATCTGACTAATCTCACCAAATTTCAACTCCTTGAGCAACTGTTTGATCCAAATTAGCTCACATGTCGCCATAGCCATCGCTCGATATTCTGCTTCTGCACTAGACCGAGCAACCACATTCTGTTTCTTGCTCTTCCAGGACACCAAATTTCCTCCTACCAAGACACAATATCCAGACGTAGAACGTCTATCAGAAGGTGATCCTGCCCAATCAGCATCTGAGTATCCAACGATCTGCTCATGGCCTCGACCCTCAAACAATAAACCTTTGCCTGGAGCTGATTTTATATACCGAAGAATGCGAACAACTGCATCCCAATGACTATCACACGGAGAATCCATAAACTGACTCACAACACTCACAGAAAAGGAAATGTCAGGTCTTGTCACTGTAAGGTAATTTAATTTACCAACCAACCGTCTATATCTTGCAGGATCGCTAAGAGGCTCCCCCTGTCCTGGCATAAGTTTAGAATTCGGATCCATCGGAGTATCAATCGGTCTACAACCTGTCATTCCTGTCTCTTCAAGAATATCTAAGGCATACTTTCGTTGTGAGATCACAACACCTGAGCTAGACTGAGCGACCTCAATACCCAGAAAATACTTTAGTTTGCCCAGATCCTTAGTCTGAAAGTGTTGCAAGAGATGTTGCTTCAATTTAGTAATACCATCCTGGTCATTGCCGGTAATAACAATGTCGTCAACATAGACCACCAGATAAATACAGAGACTCGAGGCAGAATGCCGATAGAATACAGAGTGATCAGCTTCACTCTGAATCATGCCAAATTCTCGAATAACTGTGCTGAACTTACCAAACCAGGCTCGAGGAGACTGCTTTAGACCATAAAGTGACCGACGCAAGCGACATACAAGGCCACGAGACTCCCCCTGAGCAACAAACCCAGGTGGTTGCTCCATATAAACTTCATCCTCAAGGTCACCGTGTAAAAAAGCATTCTTAATGTCTAGCTGATAGAGGGGCCAATGGCGAACAGCAGCCATGGTTAGAAAAAGGCGGACTGATGCTATCTTAGCCACAGGAGAGAAGGTATCACTGTAATCGAGCCCAAATATCTGAGTATATCCTTTGGCAACAAGACGAGCCTTAAGACGATCAACCTTACCATCCGGACCAACCTTGACTGCATACACCCAACGACAACCAACAGTAGATTTACCTGAAGGAAGAGGGACGAGCTCCCAAGTACCACTCGTATGTAAAGCAGACATCTCGTCAATCATAGCCTGTCGCCATCCTGGATGAGACAATGCTTCACCTGTAGACTTAGGGATGGAAACAGAGGACAAAGAGGATAGAAAAGCATAATAGGGTGATGACAAACGATGATAACTCAAACCGACATAATGGGGATTAGGATTAAGGGTGGCCCGTATACCTTTCCGAAGTGCAATCGGTTGATTAAGAGGAGACAAGTCCGCAGTATTAGCAGGTTCGGGTGCAGGACATGAATCAGCTGGACCTGATGCTGGGCGCGGACGACGATGATATGTCAAAAGTGGTGTTCCTGTGGCACTAGACTCCTCAACGGTTGGAATGGATAGGACTTCTATAGCGGAAGGTGAAGGAGGAGCTATAGGAGACTCGGGTAAGACTTCTGTGGCGGAAGGTGAAGGAGGTGCTATAGTAGACTCCTTAAAGGTCGGTATAGGTAAGACCTCAGATATATCAAGGGGGTCAGAAAGGTCAGAAGAGGTAAAGAAAGGTTTAGACTCAAAAAATGTGACGTCAGAGGACATAAAGTACCTACGAAGATCAAGTGAGTAACAACGATATCCCTTCTGAACACGAGAATAACCAAGGAAGACACACTTGAGAGCACGAGGAGCTAACTTATCTTTCCCGGGGGCTAGGTTATGAACGAAACAAGTGCTCCCAAAAACACGAGGGGGAACAGAGTATACGGGTGATTGGGGAAACAATACTGCATACGGTATCTGATTCTGGATGGGAGAGGAAGGCATCCGATTAACTAAATAACAAACTGTGAGAACTGCATCGCCCCAAAAACGCAGCGGAACATGAGATTCAATGAGAAGTGTGCGAGCAGTCTCAATGATGTGCCTATTCTTTCTCTCTGCAACCCCATTTTGCTGAGGGGTATAAGGACAAGAGGTATGATGAATAATTCCTTGAGAAGTCATAAACTGCTGAAATTGAGAGGATAAATATTCTAAGGCATTATCACTGCGAAAAGTGTGAATGGAAACACCAAATTGATTTTTAATTTCAGCACAAAAATTCTGGAATATAGAAAACAACTCAGAACGATCTTTCATTAAGAAAATCCAAGTACATCTTGAATGATCATCAATAAAACTAACAAAATAACGAAATCCCAAGGTTGAACTGACTCTACTAGGACCCCATATATCAGAGTGAACTAAAGAAAAAATAGACTCTGCGTGACTCTCAATACTACGAGGATAGGAAGCTCGGGTATGTTTCCCGAGCTGACATGACTCACACTCTAATGTGGATAAACTAGACAAACCAGGCACCATCTTCTGAAGCTTGGATAAGCTTGGATGTCCTAAACGTCTATGAATTAGGTCCGGAGGATCTGTAACTAGACATGCCTTGGAGGATTTTAGGGAGTTAAGGTAGTAAAGCCCTTCTGATTCAAGTCCTGTTCCAATCGTCTGCCCTGTACTGCGGTCCTGCATAATAAAAGAATCATCAATAAAATATATACCACAATGGAGGGCACGAGTCAAACGACTAACAGATGCAAGATTAAAAGGACAGCCAAGGACATAGAGAACGGAATCTAGAGTGACAGAGGGTAGGGGATTCGCTTGTCCAACTCCTTTTGCTTTGGTTTGAGACCCATTGGCTAAAGTAACAGTGGGAAGAGACTGTGAATACGCAATATTTGACAAAAGTGATTTATTACCAGAGATATGATCAGAAGCGGCTGAGTCCACAACCCATTGTCCAGGAGGACTAGACTGGGAAACACAAGCAAAAGAATTACCAGCAACAGACAACAGAAGCTACTTGTGGAGATGTCTGCTTACTTGCTCGATACTGAAGGAACTCATTATACTCCCCTTCAGATAAAGAAAATCCCTGGTTACCTATAGTCTCAGTCTGAGCAACATAAGCATTTTTGGTTGGGCGGCCATGTAAAGAATGGCATACATCACGAGTGTGTCCAAATTTATGACAATAAGAGCACTTGGGTCTAGATCTTCCAAAACGACCTCTTCCTCGTCTATTCTCCATAGTATGAGATGCCCGATTGTCCACTGATTGGGATACGAGGACAGAGGAGTCAAGTGTCTGTGATGAGCTCACTGGGTGACTAGGTGCTGCAGCAAGGCAAAGTAATCGAGAGAATAATTCATCAACTGTGGGGACGGTTGGACTAGCCAAAATCTGGTCACGTACTGAATCAAGGTCATTAGGGAGTCCAGCGAGTGTAAGAACTAGAAACATCTTCTGTCGTTGCTCTTGTTGTTTTTATGGCCGGAAAGTGGTGCACGAGCCGGCGCGTGGGCTCACGCGCGTGAGCTTCTGGTGGCGCGTGGAGGCGCGTGGGGTACTGTTTGCCGGAGATTTTTTGTGGGGTTTGGTCGCCGGACAGTGGCGACTCTTGTGGTAGTGTTGGATTTTGCACAACACTGACAGAGACAAAGCAGACGCAAACAGGCTTGAAAAAGTCGCCGGAAAAAAAGGGTTCCGGTGACTGATTTCTCTTCCCGGAATCGCTGGAATTTATGCACAGCGATAAATCTCTCACAATTGCTCTGATACCATGTGAGAATGCACGGGAGAAAATATATTATTGATGTATTGACATATGTTACAATGAGCCCTATATATATACACACACATAACATGTCCTACTCCTAATATATATTGGATTAGGGTTATTTATTTACTCCTATTTACATGACTATTCTAACAGTTACAAAAACCTAGCCATTTGATATGATTCTTTTCTTTTCTTGTAAATTATTCTCCATCACTAGTATCCTTTAAATCCGAGCACAGCCTTTCCTTCCCTCGTTTCATCACCGCCTTTATAACTCTCTCACTAATCCGTCAACCAGACAATTACTAGTCATTACTACTTACGTTACCGCCTTGGATGTTGGAAGTTATTTTAACACCTTCAACACTAAAGAGCTCCTTTCCCTGTCACAATAAAATCCTTACTACTCCCTCATAATCTTGCTTGAGCATCTCTGTTGCTATTCGTTCAGCCAAACCACTACTCTCATTACCACTTAACATACTGTGTATTGTTGCAACTCATTTTAACACCTTCAACACCATGTCAGTTGCTGGATCTAGATCAAGATCTCCATTATATTGTTGGAGAAATTGATCAAGAAAAATTATCTTTCAGTTTAAGTTGTCTGTTCTGCTTCAACCTAAAGTGATGCTAGGCTGCTTCATAGAGGTTCGCTTGACCACATCATGAGCATGTTTAAGTTAAGTGCACGTCAAGCAATAAGCCCCATCTCTTTAACTATGCCTTGTCAATGACACATAATTCTGATAAATGAAACAAACAATAGGCACCATGTACTTAATAACTAACAATGGAATTTTACACTAGTACACAGTATTAATTGAACTAAATAATCTTATTCATCTTCACTAAAATAACCTAACAATACAATGTTTTATGTGATACATCAAAACACATACCACATTATTCAGAACAGAAGACCGGATTAGCTAATAGATACTGTTGAGTTAGCACTCATAGGAGAACAAGATAACTCACTTATTAAACATGGAGAGAGAAAGAGAGAGTATGACAATGATTTCAGTTGGAGTAAGGTCTAAATGAAGTGGTTGATATTGCTAGCTGGAGCAATGCTAAAGAATGAAATTGACATTCGGATAGAAATTCCCAAGGTGAGGGTGGTATTTGGAGGTGAACTGATAACCAGGAGGTACTGAAAGTCCTTTAGAAAATTGTCCCGGTGAAAAGGATCTTTACTTGAGCCGGGGGTCTATCGGAAACAACCTCTCTACCTTCAAGGTAGGGGTAAGATCTGCGTACGCTACCCTCCGCAGACCCCACTTATGGGATTATATTGGGTTTGGTGTTGTTGTTGTCCCAGTGAAAAGGAGGGGGCAGTGCTTCTTATTCAATGTTGACAAAACACTATTGACATATAAACCAAGTTGGGGATTGGCATTTATGTAATCTTCTGAATTTATATTGCGGAAATGGAATGTATTCCATCTGGGATAGAATCGTCCACTTATGCAAGCAGGTCATGACAATGTATTTTAGGTAGTTTGCTAGAACAAACGAATATCAAAAAAAAAATGTAGGCAATTGGGCATCCAATAGGTCCCATAGCTTGAAGATATTAGCAATTAATAACACAGGTAGTTATTCAAGGAACGAATAAGTGCACAGGAGCCCTTTTGGTTTTACGAGATAGAGCTTAATGAAATTATCTAAAATGAACTGTCAATCCAACATTTCAGCAGGCTCATTTGAATAAGAAATTTAGGACCAAAAGAATATTTTTCATCATCAAAAGCAGGTAGGAGTTTAACTAATGTGGATACAAGACTAAGAAAGTAAAACCTGAAGTTCCTTCAGTCAGCAGTTGATTCTGATTATATATAGCCAAACTGCTTTTAAGTGGTCAACAAAATCTTATTCCTATGGTGAAACCACCATGAGCTACTGAGCCCACCAAGTCAAGGACATTCATTCAACAGAAGTCCGTAAACAGTGTTGATTTCTTAGAAGGGCTACTATCTTTTTCAAAAAGATCATGTTTGTTCACTTCCTTTGCAAATTGAACATCCTGCTTTACAAGGAATGGTTATTGAAGTGAGATCGAACACCCTTCTTAACAAAAGAAAGGTATCGGGACTAAACTTACTTTTACATTCAAGGAGAGAGAGATTGTATTCAAAGACTCAAGCAAAATGAATACTAAGAACTCCAAGCAAAAAAAAAACGTTTATCCTTGACAAACTAAAATAGAAACAAGCGGAATCATTATGGTACAAATGGAGTATTCCTTTTTTGTTTGCAAACAGTAAATTCTTAGGTTGGTGAAATAAAGAGGAAAAAATGCTTCATGCAGTTTTCTTCCAAGAAACAGCTTCCAATTGCAGCATAATTGGTCCCTAAGAAATGCCTGTCAATATGCAGAAAATAGTAATGAATTCTCATTCTTTCCAATTCCAATGGGTAATATTATATTTGAGCCTTTTTGCACAACTTGCGGATTTGCCCTCTTCGTTTAAAGCTACAAGCATCCTTTGGAGATCTTCCAAGGAAGCCAATTCCAAGTAGATCATCCCTTCCCCTCGCTCCACTTTGTTTCGCTCGACCTTGGAGTAGTGCCACTATCATCAGGTCGATGAACTTGATACTGCCATGAAACCACGAGACCACGACAAAGCACAGAAACCTGACTTCTTTGTATTTGTTCTGATAACCAGGTTAGTGTATTAAAATGTCTAAATGTAAACGCAGCATCACCTAAAAAGTGTTTATTTATCTAATTTGCTAGTAGAGTAATGCGCCTCTAAAGAAACAGACCGAAGCTGGAGTTTCCATCCTCCCCACCCAAAGGGAAAAGGAGAAAGAGACAAAGGTCATCAACCCCCAGGAACGAACATCTTTTTTTTTTTTTTTTGATGAACGAGAAATCGCTCTGCATCGAAATTCAGGGATTATGGGCCCGCCCTCTATCCTGCTCACTTGAATACCATTCTTAGTTCGCGCGCAGGGCTCGAACCCGTGACCTTAGTCACAAGTCCCTTAACATTTGCCACTTGAACTAAGCCCTGGGCCCAGAAAAGAACATACTTTGAAGCAATTGTGTGACTACCAACAGATAATTACCTAGAGCTTAGTAAACGAACAATGATGTAAAACTATAAATGTCATAGTTCCTCAAGGGGCGCACTAACTATAACTCTCAGTTACAAAATTTTCCATCACTTTTGCTGCTTACAACCTTGTTCCCAAGAAAATGATATCTCTACCAACAATCATGAACACAAAATAACATGTACGAAGCTTGATGAACAAGAAAGAAAGATAGAAAGAGAGCCTGGGAAGAAAGATGCAAATTCTTACTGCTGTCACTTTCTTATATATTTGAGCAGCGTTGGAACACTCAACATAAGGATACTCAAAAGTCACGAGCTCCAGCAGGCACATACCAAAGGCATAGATATCTACTAGCTCATTGTATTCCTCCTCATAAAGTTCTGGCGCCATGAATTCTGGTGTACCTGAGATCAAATATAGAATTGCATTTTTCAGCAACCATCTAAACCACCAATGAACAGCCAATTGAAACCTTGAGGACAGTTGCAAAATTAGAAAAGCTGAGGACCTCACCAATGACACTATGAGCAGCGCGAGCCTTACAAAGAATTGCAGCAAGTCCCAAGTCACCAATCTTAACTTCCCCTTGGTTACCATTGATAAAAATGTTATCACACTTAAGATCACGATGAATAATTGGAGGGTCATGACCATGTAGATATGAGAGACCCTCCAATATCTGCCTAGACCAATTCTTGAGTGCTCTAACATCAACCTTCTTATGTTTCTTACGGTACCTACACGAGCATACAGAAAGACCAGTCCACAATTCAATATTTCAGAAATATGGGTAGTGGGTTGAGCAAAGGAAGAAAAACCACATATCCATACTGTCTTAAAGTCCCAGAAGTGAAAATTTCAGTAATGATGTTGATATTCTCATTTTTCGAGTCAACCCACGAGTTATAGAATTTGATGATATTCTTGTGCTTGAGGGTTTTAAGCAAATGAACTTCAGAATATAGACGCTCCAAGTCCACAGAATTCCTCAAGAGATCAGCAACTTTAACTTGATTCCAAGCTACTTCAATCCCCTCTAATTCATCAAATGCTCGATAACTATATTTCCAATAGTAAGTCAAGAATGGACAAAAAATCGCACTTGACAAAATTCATTAATGGGCAAAAAAGCAGTAAAACAATACTCCCTTCATCTTGATTTATATGACCAAATTTCCAGAATATCTGACAGTATTCCATTAACAATATTATTGTACAATTTTCACAAATATTAAGAATTCAAAGTCATTTCACTATTCAAAGTTAATACATTTATGCAATGTTTTCTCTATCAATCTAACTTTTACACTATCACTTTTATTTTTCTTCCATTATTACTAGTGTTTAAGTGGCACATGAGAGGATGAGTTGGAGTGTCAAAATGAAAAAGGTCGAAGTAAAAGTGTCAAAATGAAAAGTGGAGCCAACTTTAGGGGGCCGCTTATGGGTTTGGCCTATAATATACTCCCTCCATTCCATTTTATGTGGCACTGTTTCCTTATTAATCTGTTCGAAAAAGAATGACATTTTCCTATATTTTCGAAACAATTTAACTTTAAACTTCTTATTTCGCCCTTAATGACATGCTTTTATGGCCACAAAAATCCATGGCATGTTTAAGACCACAAGTTCCAAAAGTCTTTTTTTTTCTTCTTAAACTCCATGCTCAATCAAACGCTACCACATAAATTGAAACAGAGTACCAGTCAAATTAATACTTCTATTACTTATCCTGTCAAACACCATCAATCAAAATGAAACAGCGGCAGAGCATCACACACGTAAAGACGTTATAAAGGATACACTTTCTTGAAAGCTCCTTTTCCCAAAACCTCTTTGTACTGCAGATAACAAGACAATCAACTTCAAAGTCACAATGCATAATCAAATATATGTATATAACTAATGAAATGGACACCAAACCCGAACTAAAAATTAGCCAGATATGTGGCAACAGTAATAGCAAAGCAGTAACAAAGAATAGAACGGCGGGAAATACAAAATGAAATACTCCCCATCCCAATTTATTTGATTCTCTTTCCATTTGGGACGTTAAAAGAAACGTTTCACACTATTCCATTTATGTACAATTTTAACTGACTTCAAACTTTCTAATTTATTAAAATTTATGTAGCATATGATAAATTCTTTCCTTATCAAACTAACTTTTTTTTGGTGTCTGGACCAGCTTGTCCGTAGCTCGACTATTTCCTTACCAAACTAACTTTTCAATCATTACTTCAATATTGTTATATTTTTCACACTTCACTCATATATTATTTCAGTCAAATCATATAAGATGAGCAGAATATGGTCACTAAGCAGTTTGAAAAATGTACTCCAAACACAGCATAATGTACAACGAAGCCAAAAGTTAATTAATTAATGTAAAAATGAGAAACTGACCCGGCCGTAACGACCAGAAGGATCGAGCTCGACAAACTCCGGTTCAGATTCAGAATCGTCCGGTTCCTGTTCGGACGCAGAATCCTGCTGCATTCTCTTCGTTCCAATGAATTCAATTATGAGAAGAAAAATAATTAAAAAACCTAGCTCTTCACGAACAACAACAATTGGATTCAGATCAATTTGAAATTACGAATTAACAATCGAATCGTAAACTTTTGTCTCAGAATTGAGATATAAGCAGTTTCAGGGGATGTGTAAATTGACAGAAGACTCTGTTACACCAAACTAGTAGTTACATACAATACATATGTAAGCATAAGGATCAGCAGAAACGTATAAAAGAAACGAAGCGTGCCAAGGGAAAAAAGCAGAGTTCGAGTTGAAGGCGTCCGGGTGGGGTCATGGGCAGATGTGTGCATGCGAACGAAACCAGACTCAAACCCGACACCGAAATTTGGGACGCATCTTGGATCCCAGGACCCGAATACGAGAGATCACTTAATTTTAATTATAAATTATTTTAACTTTTTTTTAAAAATAAAATTTGTATATTTAAGAGTTGTACAAAACGCAATATATTATCTAATCGTTTAATATCTAACAAAAGTTTGAAAAATACAAAGTTGTCAACTAAAAAATATTGGCTTTCTACACATATAATGTCGCATAAAATAGAGTTAGGAAGAGTATATTTCAAGAGATGAACGGTCCTTTGTGTAGGGATTTAAATATTTTTAAAAAAATTGGGATAACATTTATTTGTGTACGATTACATAATATAGAAAAGTATAAACAATTGACATATTAAAGGGCTGCATAGTGTAATTGATCCTTTAATTTAATGGGATTGAATAGTCAACTCTGGACAAAATGGAAAGTCAACGAGTTTGGCCCATGGCGACACCTAGTTAGCTGGGAATCCTTTTTATTGTTTCCTTTTGTTTTTTAGTTCCGCTCAACTATATCTCTTTTTTCCTTTTTATTAACAGTTTGCTTCTAACCTACGTAGCAATCCTAGATATAACTATAATATACAAGGCTAACTAGTTAAAAAATTTCTTATTATCTTTTCTCTTTTGCCTTTTCCTTCTATTTTGAGTGAAGAAGATGATGAGAATAGAAACAAACATGCCCCGGAAACACCTTTTGGAAACAAAGTAAATTAAAAGGTAGAGTTAGATTTCTTTTTTCCTATTTCTTTCTCTATTCACTTAAAACATGCAACAATGATGGTGTGTCTGTTTGTTTACCCTAAAAATTGGATAACAATTAAACTTATAATGTGATTTTAAGGATATGTGATTTCACCTAATACCAATTGATAAACGTAAAGATAAGTGATGCAAATTGACAATAATATTAAGCAAACCAGCGTTTGAACAGAGCCCTCGAGCTCGGACACCCTCGAGCTAGTTATGCAAGAATAGTTAAAGGCACAATAAGCCGGTGAACAAGAATGTAAGCTAAGAAATATTATATTGCTCTGATATTTGGGAATGTAAGGTGCTTACAAATGACGGGGACTCCCCTTTATATACTAGAGGAATCCTGATTATGGTACAATTCTAATTACGGAAGTAAATCCCATGATTAGTACAAATAACCGCCCTTGATTTGTTCTGTTCCGGGATTTCCGCCGTGATCTTCGACCGATTACGGATATTTCGCCTTTTCGTTATTGTACTTCACTCGAAGTCGGTCATACTTAGTCTCCATTGCTGCTGGCCTCGATCCTAGTACTTTATTCCTAAGTGAGTTATACCATTATTGTAAGGGACATGAATTTTCTAACAAGCATACTCTATATTCTATCAAAAGCTCAATAACATTTTTACTTTCTCGCTTATTTACATTGAAAGCTCTGCTCCCGAGCTCAAGATCTCTACTATCTTATCTCGATTTCAACGCTAAGTCTTTCAAAACCTTTATATTTTTTTTTATCTAGGGTTCTGAGTTATTTAGATGTTTCTCTGATTTTCTTTTTTTTTCTCTTGTGTGTTTCTTCTACTATGTTTCTTCTACTGTGCTCTTTGTGTGCTTTTTCTACTATGTTTGTTGTTAAGATTCTTCTACCATGTTCTTATCAGTTTCCTCTACTGTGTTTTATATGTTTCTCTTACTGTGTTCTTATTAAGTTTCTTCTACTATGCTTCTTTATACGTTTCTCCTACTGTTTCTTATTAGTTTCTTCTACTATGTTTCTTTGAGTTCTTCTACTGTGTTTCGCATGTTGTTCTTTTACTATGCTTCTCATGAGTTCCTACTACTGAAAGAGCATGTTAAAGGTCTCAGTTCCTTTCTGAGACCTCTGAACCTGTTTCGATTAGTATCTTTTTCCTTGATTACTTGTCCTCTCATCTCTGCACTCGATTGATGGTAAAAACCCTAGAATTTGGGGGTTCATCCGAGTTTTGAGACCATTGTCTATGTGATATGCTTGCTCCTCATCTTTGAAATTGTTGGATTTCAGAAACCCTAACTATTTCGAGTTTCAGAATTTGTTTAATCTGTTGCTCAACTGAGTCTTGAAATCTTTGTTTCAACCTCTGTTTCTTTAAGCAATTCTGATTCTCTACTAAACTCTTCTAAGGTCCTTATACTGGACCCTTTGTATGCTATTTGATACTATCTCTCTTCTACATTGCTGACCTATGTGAGTACCATTCTTGCAATGGCATGACGTTTTCTTTGCCCTAAATTCAGCTTAGCATGTTTGTGTGCTCTTTATATGTGTTGAACTCCCCTCTAAAATGGCTTTCAATTTTGATTAATTTCAGACTTCCTTTGTATAAGTTTGATTGATTTCTTTCCTTGTTTGCTGATTTCCCTGTTACTCGATTTGAGTCAAAAACTTTCCTTAGCTTTTCTGACTTGGTTCATTCATGGACCAGTGATTACAAATCTCTGACTCCTTGATTTACTATCTACTAATTGATTTTCTACCTTATTTATGTAACTGTGTATTTCAAAATTCTTCCCTATTGATCCCTGCATATATTACTAACTTGTTTGATTCTTTGTTCTTAATAAACGTCATTAAAAATGGCAGATAACGACGTCAACATCGTTCCGAAAGCTCCGCAGGACCACCTACCACTAGTCTTCGGCCGGAGGGGTTTATTGCACAAAAAGTCGGGGCGCAGGCTCCCGAAGAGAGAAGCCCAACGAATGTCAGATGCAAAGCCCCGCACCTCATTAAGATCATATTGGCATACTCTCCGAAAAAAGAAAGAGTAGACCTCGGCATGAAGATTCCATCAGCGATACCCGCAACGAGGGGAATAAGGCCACGCCAGTTCACGGCGGGCAATATCCACGACATGTTCGAGAGGCAACTCCTGATGAAATGCTAAAGACGAGCATGTCGTTGAAATAGTAAGGATCCTGAGGGAGCAACAAAAGGCCATTATGGGCCATCCTCGCGGCAGGATCTGGTCATGACGGAATTAAGACAAGCGCTGTCAGGTGCTTCTAACAATGCGAATGGACGAGGTCTAGTTCCTCCCGGTGGCAAATCAAACAACGCAAAGGGTCGATAACAACACCTGAAGGGCGAAGTCGGTTTTGACAGGGCCGGGGGGAACGGTAGCGGTTCCGGAAACAACAATGAAAATGATCCCTTTAAAACCGAACTCATGCAGTTTTAAAGGATCAAATTCCCGAATGTAAAAAATTCCGGGCGCACCGCCAGTAGTGAAAGGATCGGAATCGAAGAAGTACACCCAACTGCGGTTCAAATCGAGCGCAGCACCAGAGTTGATCCCTAAGCAGTTCAAAATGCCAGATGTGCCGAAGTATGATAGGACTTCAAATCCTCAGGAGCATATCACCACCTATACAACAGTGGTGAAGGAAACAATTTGGCTCTGCTTGAGATTGAGTCAGTCTTATTGAAAGAATTCGGGGAGACCCTCACGTAGGGGGCCCTAACATGGTATTCACTCTTGCCCAAGCATTCCATAGATTCCTTCGAGATGCTCGCGAATTCTTTCATTAAGGCCCTTGCCGGGGCCAGAAGGTACATGCCTGAAAGGCCAACATATTTAGGATTGCACAAGGAGAGTCCGAATTGTAGTGGGAGTTCGTGACGCGATTCTAGAAAGAAAGGACACTGCTCCTGGTCGTACCAGACAAATGGGCAACAAAATATTTACTAAAGGGTTGAATCTAAAAAGCTCCGATGCTTCCAGAAAATTGAAAGCAAGTCTGCTTGAGTTCCAGGCAACAACATGGGAGGGTGTTCACAACCGGTACGAGTCAAAGATAAGAATTGAAGATGATCAGCTCGGCTTTTCAACGTCAACCAAAGGTCAGGACCGGGACCAGGAAAATAATAAGGAGAAATTGAAGGATGACTTCGACACAAATCGACGGTCTTCAAGGGAGCGATTTTTGCCTTATGAGCGGGCTGAAGGACGTGGTAGAGGTTTTCAGTCGACGGATAGATTCACCATTGATAGAAGAATTGATCACGGCTGGAATAATAGGTCATTACAAGATAAGGAGACATCAGGTTCTCGAGATTCTTACTACCCAGGCTTTTTGAATACAACTTTAATGTCATCGTAGTGGAGCTGGTGTCGGCTATGAGGAACATTAAAGAAGCACGATTCTCGAAGCCAATGAGATTCGATCGTAACGATCACCGGACAAGGGACTGCCGGCATCTGTGCAAGGAGGTGGCGACACTGTTGAAAAACGGCCATCTCGGAGAATTTTTAAGCTACCTGGCTAAAAATAACTACGGTCGTAATTGTGATAATAAGGAACCTTTGAAAACAGGAGAAGATCCCCCACGATTGACGATCAACATGATTTTCGGGGGGAACGAGGTTAATGGTGTGACATTTTCGGCGGAAAAAAAGATGAAGGTGTCGGTGATCTACAGTAAGAGACTCCGATAAGACGTTGAGGACGACATTACTTTCACGGATAAAGACGCAGATGGACTGCTGCTGCCATACAATGATGCATTGGTAATCTCTTTAAATGTCTTAGATTTTAAAATTAAATGTGTTTTGGTGGACCTAGGAAGTTCGGCCAATATCACCCAATGGAGAGTGTTGGAGCCAGCCAAGCTCACCGAAAATATCATTTCGGCCACAAAACTCCCCGTCGGGTTCAACCTAGCGAGTGTGACAACCTGCAGAGAGATCCTGCTGCCCACAAATGCCGAGGGGCTGATGAAGATGACCCTTTTTGAAGTGGTGGACGGCGATATGGGCTATAATATTATCCTAGGGAGGACGTTATTGCACGAGATGAAGGTTGTGCCATGAACATACCATTAGTTGTTGCAATTCCTAACTCCCGAGGGAATTAAACAAATAAGAGGCGACCAATCGGCAGCAAGGGAGATGAATGCAATCTCAGTTTCCAGTAGTAAAGGGAAGGAACATGCGTCATAGCAATTACAGGAACCGGCGCCTGCTCCCAAGCCGAGCAAAGTCAACTAGGGGGAGGAGTTGTCGGAATCCTATCAGGTA